CCAAACTAATTGGAATGTGTTTCCAATTGATGTTACATTTGCTAATGGAACACAAGTTGACCAGCTCAGGAACTGTACATAGGACCAAAGCAGCAATTCCACATGAAATATTGCCATTTCAAAACAGAATTATATAGTATCATCTTTGGATTCCAGAAGGCTGTAACACTGGCCTCGTATATCACAAAGAAAAACAAGCTGGTACTGCTGATGTCAACATTTCACCATGATGGAGATATTGATAAGGAAACCTCAACAAAACGGAACCCTGGGATGGTAGCTCTCCACAGTGAAACCAAAGGCGGAGTAGATGTTGCTGACGAGTTTTGCAGCAACCATGATGGCACTGGGAACACACAGTGCTGGCCAGCAGTTGTGCTTTACTCAGTCTTAAACGTGTGGCACAAATCATTTGATAGTTTTGTTTTTTTTTTTCCAGTACCAGGAATCGAACTCACGACCTCATGCTTGCCAGGCAGGCGCTGTTGCCGCTGAGCTAAATCCCCAGCCCCATCATTTCATAGTTTACAAAGAAAATGACAAATGGAAAATATCGTGGAGAAATTCTCTTAGAAGATTGGTAGTGGACTCACAAGAGATCATTTACGGCAGAGAAAAAACAAAATGTTTTTGCCCAGGGAGCTACGCAAAAATTATGGCGCACACTGGTGAGCTGACGGGTGAACCGGCAGGGGCAGCATCCCACAGACCTCCATGGCAACAGGAAAACCAAAAAGCTGTCAACTGCCCTACAGGAGAGGGCAGGAAAAGAAACACGTGCTATCAGTGTAAGCGATATTTGTGTATGGAACATGCAGTTTTCATGTGCGAAGACTGCCTCAGGTGTGACAGTTGAAGCAAAGATTATTTCTGTGGTAGACTTTGTTTGTATTTACATTGAAGTTCACATAGTTTTTTGGTTGTTTTGTTTTTTGTTTTTTTGAGACAGGGTCTCACTATGCAGATCAGGCTGGCCGTGAGCTCACTTTGTAGCGCAGGCTGGTCTCAAACTTGCAAGGATCCTCCTGCCTCAGCTTTCCAAGTGCTGGGATTACAGGCATGCACCACCACGCCCAGCTTTTCTACAGTCAGGTTTGAGAGGGACCCAGTAAGCATAGTTCTTTCACGTCTTGGATATCAAGCTAGGATACATGATCCAGTAGGAAGTAAAATGAACAAACCCCAGTAATTATCAAGATATCTTTATATTTTTCACCCTCATATATTATACAGTTCATTGCATATAATTTTCAATTAATAAATATATAACAAAATGTAAAGTAGGTATGAAAATAGCTTGCTGAAAGCTGGGCATGGTGGTGCACACCTGTAATCCCAGCACTTGGGAGGCTGAGGCAGGAGGATTGTTGTGAGTTCGAGATCAGCCTGGGCCACATAGTGAGCTGAAGGCCAGCCTGAACTGCATAGCGACACCCTGTCTCAAAAAGACACAAACAAAAGGCCAAAAAGGAAAATAGCTTGCTGAAGAAAAAGCTTCCTCGTTATACTTAGTACATTATTACATACAACAGAAGATAATTGTTAAACCGTTTAAAAGATAAACTAGCTAAATTCTTTGAAAAATTCTTCTGGTGTTTCAGGTGTATCTAAAACATATTCCTGGAATTATTGTGTATCTTATTGAAATGTCATTGTTGCTGGGCATGGTAGCCCACACCTGTAATCCCAGCATGGGGAAGCTGAGGCAGGAGGATTGCTGCAAGTTCACACAGTGAATTGAAGGCCAGCCTGAACTGTATAGTGAGACCCTGTCTCAAGAAGACAAAAAGTGAAATGTCATTGTTTAATTATAAGATGGTGTGATATTTAAACCATATCAGATTTCTCAGGTAAAGTCCTCTGAGAAATGGACTGAGGCAGTCCTGAGGGGAGGATGAAGAAGAGGAAGACAAAGAAACAAATTTCAGCGTACAACTTTCGGTGTGACCTTCTGAAGCAAGGTGACACTGACCTCAGGACATTGGAGGACTTAAATCATATAGTGGTGGGGGGTATGCTCTATCACATAGTCTGGTCCCCAACAAGGCAGTTTTCTTTTTTTGTTTGTTTGTTTTTTTGAGACAGGGTCTCGCCGTGCAGGTCAGGCTGGCCTTGAACTCACTTTGTAGCCCAGGCTGGTATTAAACTCGAAATGATCCTCCTGCCTCAGCCTCCCGAGTGCTGAGATTACAGGCATGCGCCACCACGCCCAGCTGAAGGCAGTTTTCTACAGGTTGTTTCTGGGAGAGTGACCTGGGAGGGATGCTGGATAGGGGGTGAGAGAAGCAGGTTTGGGCGAGGGAGGTGAGCAGATGCTGCCGGGCTGGGGTGGGACAGCCCGTCAGAGGTGTCCGGGCCTGGGCACAGCGGCGGCCTTGTACTGTCCCACTAGCCAGGCTTCGATTACCCGCTGCCCAGGCAGACGTTTGGAAAAGGACCGGCTGTGAGCCGCTCGTCACCAAAGCTACCGGCAGTCAAACCCGGAACTAGTCCTCCTTCATGGACGGGGTGTCTGGACCGCCCCCCACCATGCTCAGGACTTTCCACCCCGCACCACGTGGATACACTCTCCTCACAGCTATTCGCCCTCTGAGAAAGGCTCCACTGGGATTCCCGTGTGTCATTCTGGGGAGAAACAAAGGTAGGTAGTTGTGACAAAACTGTCGTTCATGCCCGAAGAAGCCCTGCAGCACCTAGGCCCTGGCAGCACCGCTCTCTGCCCTAACGGATTTAGGGCCCCCGCCCCGTGGCTAGCAGGGTCAGTGGTTGGATGTTCACCTCCAGTGTGACACAGACCCTCGGCTTTGAAGCAGCGCGATTCCTGGAAGTCCGGACTTCTCAGGCTGGGGCTGTTGCACTCGTCCACATACGGTTAAAACTGGGTCGTCACCAGGGAGCCCAGTGCGTTCTTCCCCACGGCCGCAAGTTCACGCTGCTCCATTACCCGCAAGGGCTTCAATTCTTACCATTGTACGCGGCCTCAGCCAGCAAGGGGCGCTCTCAGGGCTATGCGGTAACAAACAGGAAGAAATTGGGAGTTAGGGTAACAGGTACCTGCGGGTTAAAAGAGTGTGAAGTTCAGCGAACACTGGGGACGGTGGCACACCAAGTCAGCTCAGCCTTCAGAGACCATGTGGTCAGCGGAGATAGCACGAGGCAGGGCCAAGCGAAACAAGATCAGTCAGATCAAATCCACCGAGGCAAGAGAGCTCTGCCTCCTCCAGAACCCAATTAGGAGCTTTCCCAGGCGATGAGAGGCACGTTCCAGGCGGCAAGGGACAGGTGTGCGTGTGGAACGGTTACTGAGGTAGCTGATAGTCACCGTTTCCTTATTATCATTGTAAAAATCACCCAGGTAGAGACCGAGGATGGTGGTGAGACCTGCGTGTCCTCAAGAGGCCTGATGAAGTCCTGCCTGCCCTGGGGATGCCACAGAAGCTGTACACCATGCTTCTGCTTTTTGGTTGGGTCAGCCTGGGGTCCCTGTCCCCTTTTTATTTTTGTTTTTTGGGGTCTTTTTTTTTTTTTTTGAGACAGGGTCTCGCTGCGCAGTTCAGGCTGGCCTTGAACTCACTTTGTAGCCCAGGCTGCTCTCGAACTTCCAATGATCCTCCTGCCTCAGCCTCCTGAGTGCTGGGATTACAGGCGTGTGCCACCATGCCCAGCATTCCCATCCCCTTTTTGATCAAGCGTAAGAACAAAACCTTGTTTCTGTGCCAGCTCCTCCTACGTGACTCCTCTGACAGAAAACGCTAGAAGCCACGGAGTCAGAGTCTTAGTCACTGTCCCATTTCTGGGACAAAATACCTGACACCAGCAACTTAAAGGAAGAGGTTTCCTTCACTCATGGTTTCAGAGGGTCCAGCCATGGTCTGCTGGCTGCAAGGCAGAAACTGCATACGTGGTGGAAGGGCCTGGTGGAGGACAGCTGCTCACATCGTGGTGCCCAGGAAGCAGAGAGACAAGGGGGGAGCTAGAGACAATACACCCTTCCAGGTCATGCCCCAGTGACCTGCTTCTTCTGGCCAGCCCTCACCTTCAAACATGTGAGACTTCTGGGGACACTTTAAGTCTAAACTGTAACAGTTGCTAGCACTTTGGCATCCATCCTAAATCCAAGTTTAACTATCCCCTAACTGAATCGGATTTAGTTCTCTTTGCTGTGGTGACGGTCTACACCACACCCAGCTGGCTGAAGCTCCTGGCTGGAGATGAAGAACTCAGAGACTTCTCGCCACTTAAAGTGACACACACCCAATTGCCCCCCACACACCCTGCACTGCCATGTGCTCTCCCTTCTTGGCCTGACTCCTCATTCTGCCGCTCAGGACCAGTGACAGAGGATGGCCCTCTCATCCGGGGCCTGTAAGTTAAGATCTTTGAACTTGTTCCCTGTTACCATTGTGTACTGAATGCGCCTTGTATCTGTGGGACCCACAATCTGTCAAGTGGCAGGATTTTCTCTACTAAAACCATGTGTCACTTTACAGTGCTCTATAAATCTGCTCGTGACCGTTAGTAAGAATGTACGATCCAAGTAATCTTGTTCTGCACAACCCGTTCCCTGGCCAGTACCCTGCAAACCCTGAAAATGTAGCCACAGTGTCCTGGCCCTGCAGCAGCGGCCTGAGCAATGGTTAACCCGCACCTCCTTGTGCTGCGTGCCCGTCTGTCTGTGACGTGGGCTGCCGGGCTGGGATCCAGGAGGAGCAGGCACTGGAGAACCCAGCGTTTCCCGGGAGCCCTGGGACGAGCTGTTACCCAGCCTCGGCACCACCGACCCTTCCCGCACCGTTCTGCCCTTCATGGTGTCACAGCTGAGCGCTGGAGCACAGCCGCCTGACCTCAGCTGCTGCCGCGGGCCACGTCCGGGGGAGTCCTGGCCTGTCCAGTGTTGCTCCTGGGGTGCGAACGGAGCGCCAGGAGGTTTGGGGACCTGGGGTAAGCTTGTGTTTTTAGCATCTCAGTGGTTCTCAGTGCAGAAACCTGAATCTGTTTTATTTTATTTTATTTTGGTTTACAGTAGTGGAAAATAAACCTAGAATCTTCACACTGGGTTATATCTCCAGCTTTTATTTATTTATTTTTTTTTGAGACAGGGTTTTGTCAGGACTAGAAGTTTCCCAGGTTGGGCTTGAATTGTCGAACCTCCTGCCTCGGCCTCCCAAAGCGCTGGGCTGACCGGTGTGTGTCTCCGTGTCTGGCTCAGGCCTGTGACTTTCACCACCGAAGGTGTGTTAGCTTGAACGACTGCCAAAAGCCTGCCGCACAAACACCGTCTAGGCTGCTGCATCACAGACAATCATCTTGACTTCGCTCTGGGGCTCCTGGGCAGCGAATACAGACATAAATGTGCAGGGTGTCCAGCTCCTGGGAGGAGGAAGCCCGCCGCAGGCTCGGCTCTGGGGTGAGGAGTCTGGGACGGCTCGGCAGGAAGATGCCTGCGCCGTGTTCTTCCCGCACTGGCCGGCCCTGGTGGGGCGCAGCCTCCGCTTCCTTGGGTTCCCGCTCACAGCCGAGGGGCCATTAGGTCTCCTGTAATAGTTCACACTTCGTGGCCCCTTACAAAGTTTGGGGGTTACAGTAAAGGGCGATAAAGGCTTGCACCCCGGCCCCCCATCCACTTCCCTGCCTTCTGCTGACACATCTTCCAGAGAACGGGGCTGTCGCTGAAGGACTCTCCCCTCCCTCTTCGGACGGATGAGCTGCAGCGTCCTGATCGGTCCGCAGGGCAGAGGCAGAGACTGCGACCCTCTCAAGGCCTGCCCTGCCCAGCTGCTCAGGACAGTAGCAGCCCTATGCAGCTCGCGGAGCGTCTCCCCAGTCCATGTGCGCTTCAGACTGCATACCCCACCAAGGAAACGTCTCCCCCGCAGCCTTGGGGGCCAGCAGGCCACAGCCCAGCAGCTAGCTGAGACCCACTGGCTGCTTGATCGGCGTCCACCGAGAAGCACGAAGGGCTGGAGACAGGAGTTTGCTTCCCAGAGCCGGTGGGCTCTGCCTGGGTGCTGTGCGTGCTGCCTCTCCCTGTGTCTGTGGTAATACAACATTTCTTTAACTGAAAGCATTTTTTTTTTTTTTTAAGAGTAGGAAAATGCATTGGAGGAAAGGAATGGGACCAGGAATAGCTCCTGAGACACAGGCGGGGTCCCGCACGGGCCGCCCCTGCGAGTACCTCTGTGGCATTGTTTCAGACAGCAATGCATGCTCTAGAAGAAAATTCAGAAAATACAGGCACAGGTAACACCAGCGATCGCCCCGAACTCTGCTAGTATAAACAGCCCTAGGGTTTGGCGTTTCTTCATGTACAGCTACAAACACGACTGGGCCCTTCACTGGCCCTAATTCATCCTCCAGGCTTACACTGAGGTTAACCACAAACGTGAACTTAGTGTTCTTTATTCCTGCATTTCTGCTTAGATTCTAATACACTGCCAAATGTTCTTTTGTTTTTTTTTAAACTGGGAATTGAACGCATGACCTCGTGCTTGCCAGGCAGGCCCTGTGCCACTGAGCTATATCCCTGGCTTCTTGTTGTTGTTTCGAGACAGGGTCTCATAGTGCATGCTGGCCTTGAGATCTTCCTGCCTCAGCTTCCCGAGGGCGGGGATTACAGGGGTGTGTCTCCACGCCCGGCAAACGTTCTTAACACAGAGGCTTAGTTCACACCACTTGAACTATTTATGCTTGGCGTACTGTGCATATCCCGCAAGTTGCTTGTTTTACTCCGTAAAGCGTGGGGTGTGCCTTGCCAACGTGCATACAGTTTTGTTTAGTGTAACTAGGGTGGAGGGTTCCACGGTGTGGGCACCTGGACGGTTGCTGCTCTCCTGCTATGGCTGTGTTGTTCTGCTATCTTACCCTGCGGCCGCCAGCACTGCTGCATGCCCCTTCCATGTGCCCTTGCTGTACAAATTCCTGAGTAGACGCGTCGCTGAGGGGCAGCGTGAGCAATCCCACGCAGTCACCCTAAATCGTGCGAGGGTTTACACTCCCACCACGAGTTCATAAAAATCCCGTATTTCTCCAGATCTTCACCAGTGTTCTGTGTAAGTTTCAGACCACCAGCCTTCAGAATGATACAAGAGGGTGCTTAGTTGACATTTCTCTACTGATCATTCAGGTTAGAGTATGTTTATGCAAATCTCCTGTGTTCTTTGAGCTGCCTGTTCCTAAACCCTGAATATTTATTTGCCTATTGGCTGTACAAAAGCCTTCCCTTAAAAGGCCCTAAGATATTTCCTCCTGTATATTATGCAGTTATTGGCCTGCCTGCATTTAAGTTTTTGAAGGTATGGACTGACGCAGAGATGTTAAGATTGGAATGCTGTACCTTGGGCCACCACAAAAATATTCATAAAAAGATATTACCAAAATTAAAATGAAACACTAAAAACAACTCCCATAACACAAATAAAGGCAGAAATGAAAACTGGAGAAGCTAGAAGCAGATATTATGAGAAGGCAAATAGTTACAAAATCAGATGTGTGTGGCGGTGCATGCCTGAAATCCCAGCACTCCGGAGGCTGAAGCAAGAGGATCTCCGTGAGTTCAAGGCAAGCCTGGGCTATACAAGTGAGTTCAAAGCCAGCCTGAACTACATGGAAAGACCCTGTCTCAAAACAAAGAAAAGAAAAAAAAAAGAATTACAGACTCAAATCCAAAAGTAGTATCTTAAATGCAAATGGCCTCAGCACAGTAGTCAAACATACACGGTCGTAAGTTTTAAAAAATAATTATTGCTTTGCAGTTGTTGAAGCAATAGTTTACGTAAAAGTAGATGCTCTTTATCTACACAGAATATCAGAATTAGCTTTTCAGTAAAGCCCTTTTTTTTTTTGGTACTGGGAATCAAACTCAGGACCTTGTGCTTGCTAGGCAGGCGCTTATGCCACCGAGCTATATCCCGACCCACAATTAGCTTTTTTTTTTTTTTTTAAAAAAAAAAAACCTTTTGCTCTTGTTGCTTTTGCTGTCTTCTGCTGCTGTGAACAGGTGCCCTCTGCCATGTACCACCCTGTCTTGGAGCGAGACGATGATGGACTGAAACCTCTACAAACTGTGAGCTAGATAAACCTTTCCCCGCTTTAAAAAACAAAAAACAAACACCACCTCAAACCAGCAGAGGACGCTCACCTCAATGTAATGTGTGTTATGCGGCCGTTCCAAAGGCGGGCTTCTCCCTCTCTGAAGCAAATGATGATCAAAGCAACTGACAAACTGTCGTGGAATCTGTCCAGACCTGACGCAGGCCTTGCGCTTCTCTTGAGCCACTGCTCGTCCCCTGCTCGTCCGCCTCCAAGGGCTCTGAGCCCATCCCTAGCAAGCTAACAGGTCCGGCTGCGGGCCGCCGCCGCCCTGAGCTGCGGAGCTGATTCAAGTGGCCTGCTCTGCCCCCTGGTGGCCAGATGATCGAGCTTCATGGAGGTGAGCCGCCCTTTCCAACGCGGCAGGTTTTCTAGGAATCCGGGTGGGGTGTGGATTTCTGGCTCTTGAAAGGAAATTCAAGGAAATATTTAATTTGTGATAATGTGTCGTTTACTATACCAGGCCTTGGAATAACTAAGAATTTAGACTGGAGAGGCTGTTAAGAAAACAATAAAATCCACCACAACTTTTTAGAAAAACTAGAGTAAAGGCTGTACTAAATTTTATCTTCTAGAGCTGGGTAGGATGACACACACATGTAACCACCGGTACTCGGAAGGCTGAAGCAGGAAGATTGCATGTTTGAGGCCAGCCTGGGCAATTCAATGAGACCTTGTTTCAAAATAAAACCAAGGGCTGGGGTAAAGCAGGAGGACCACAGATTCTCTGGGTCTTGTGAATTGTTAAACTGCCTAGGCTGGGCTTGGATTTTCATCCTGCTGCCTCAGCCTCCCAGAGAGCTGGGATTACAGGTGTGCACTACCAACTCTGGCCAAGCTTTCTACTACTGTGAATGTGTAGACACAGGCTGAAATAACTTAAGACTCCTTTCAATTCTAAGCAGCTCCAAGAAGTAAAAAATTCACAGTCCACATCTCAGGGAAATGAAAATCCTCTGGGAAAAGTATTTTTCTTTTTTCTTGTCTTTTTGAGACAGGGTCTCACTATGCAGTTCAGGCTAACCTTGAGCTCACTTTGTAGCCCAGGCTGGACTCAAACTCGCAATGATTCTCCTGCCTCAGCCTCCCGAGTGCTGGGATTAGAGGCATGCGCCACCATGCCTGACTGGGAAAAATGTTTTTCTTTGGCAAGGGTCTGGGAATGTCCCGACCTAGTCCTTGCCCCTTTCTAATTCTCCAAGAATGTGTACAGTGAGGGGAAGGACAGGCAATAACTTCGCAGGTGCCTCCTGCTGCCCAGGGTTTATAGAGACTTGAGAGGTGCACGCGGATCCTTGTCTTGTGTTTCTGTCTCGACCTTGAGGTTCGATCTGCCCATCAGGGCCTGGCCATGGATGGGGTTTCCTGAAAGATTTCCAGCTGCTGAGATTTCAGCTCCTTTGGTTTCCAATTTTTGCTTTTCTCCAGGGCAGCAGGAACTTGTGCACGTAGTTTGCCTCACAAATTTGATGTGGCTAATAAATGTAATTCCACAGTGCATCCTGATGGGCCGTGACAGCTTTGGGGCCAGATGAAGGGTTCAGATCTGGGCTCTTCCACTTAATGACTGTGACCTGAGAAAGCTGCTCGAACTCTCTCAGCTGCATTTTCCTTAAAAGTGGAGTAATAATACCTATTTCTTGGGCTTATAAAGTTTTTTTTTTTTTTTGTCTTTTTGAGACAGGGTCTCGCTATGCAGTTCAGGCTGGCCTTGAGCTCACTTTGTAGCCCAGGCTGGTCTTGAACTTGCAACGATCCTGATCCTCCTGCCTCAGCCTCCCAAGTGCTGGTATTACAGGCATGCGCCACCACACCCAGCTTCCATCTTGTGTTTCATAGCCAAGGATGTATTTTTTTAAATTAGTGCCGGTCAGTTATATAGAATGGTTTCATTTTGACACATTTGTACACACACACAGCACACTGGTATGCACCCAGCATCTTCATACACACGTGTAACAAGCTCTGACTGTGCCCCGCCACCCCTCCCACAGGATGTATTCAGGAAGGACAGGCCCACTGACAAAACCTTACCTGGCAAAATGTATTAACCATAAAACCCAACCAATCAGCCCAGACTCCATAGCAAGGACCTGTCTCAAAAAAAAAGATTGGACTGCGTGCATCTATACAATAGGAAGGAACTCACAATGTCATGAACGAAAGGAAGGATTGAGAAGCAGAAGAGTACAATTCTATGCCATGTTTGTATGACGTACAAAATCAGGCAGAATTAATAGTCAGAAATCAGGAGAGGGGGCAACCCTGGAGGGAATGAAGTGGAAACAGGGGAGCTTCTGGGATCTAGTAATTTCCTTCTTTCTTTCTTTCTTTCGTCTTTTTGAGACAGGGTTTTACTATGCAGCTCAGGCTGGCTTTGAACTCCCTTTGTAGCCCAGGCTGGCCTCAAGCTCACAGAGATCCTCCTGCTTCAGCCTTCCAAGTGCTGGGATTACAGGTGTGCACCACCATGCCCGGCTGTAATGTTCTGTTTCTTCCTCAGTATAATGGCTACACAGGTGTGTTTCATTTCATAAAGGGTCAATGAGATACACACTTCAGATTTTGCATTTTCTGTATCTGTATTTCTGTAACGTGCTTTTCAAAATAGAATGTGGGAGGGGCCTGGTTCGCTGCTGACCATCTAAGCCTGAGGGAGGAACCTGGACTTCCAGTTCCTCTTATGTGATTCCTAGAGAATAAAAGTAAAGCTAACAACTAGCAGAGAAGTTGAAAGTAGAACATTCATCACCTGGGCAGGTGGGGGAAGAGCAGGATGTGGACATTTCTTTGGTTGAGCGCTCTTTCTTCCTCTGCCTTGGTTCTCTGCTAAGGTTTAGATAATGTCATAAACCACGATGCTGGAAAACACGGAGGTGTCGATCATTTTGAAAGGAGACATCATAGAGTTTTAGCCATAGTTGCACGGATGGGCAGCGGCTTTGGGGTCGGAGCCCACCCTACGGGCGACAGGGCTGAGGAACTCACTGAAGGTGTTCTCTCCCTAAGGCACCCTCCACAACCTCCTCCGACATCCACCCAGGCGCCCAGGAAGACGACGACTCCGTCTCAGTCACCCGCATCCCCTCGAAAGTGGCGATGCAGGACATTACTACAGAGCTGCACTGCCCGCTGTGCAAGGACTGGTTCAGTGACCCCCTCATGCTCAGCTGCGGCCACAACTTCTGCCAAGCCTGCATCCAAAACTTCTGGAAGCTGGAAGCCAAGGAAACGTTCTGTCCCGAGTGCAAGATGCTGTGTCAGTACAGCAACTGCACGTTCAACCTGGTGCTGGAGAAGCTGGTGGAGAAGGTGAAGAGGCTGCCCCTGCTCAAGGACCAGCCGCAGTGCTCAGAGCACGGCGAGAACCTGAAGCTGTTCAGCAAGCCGGACGGGAAGCTGGTCTGCTTCCAGTGCAAGGACGCGCGGCTGTCCACGGGGCCCTCCAAGGAGTTCCTGCAAATCCCGGACGCCGTGCGGCTCTTCACGGTGGGCGGGGCCCGCCCAGCCCCTGGGGGAAGCAGGGAAGGTTTTCTGCGGGGCTTGCTCTCTCTTCCGCCTCACCTTTAACCAAATAAGAATGAGAAATCTCAGCGTGCTCAGAAAATACGAAGTGTTTTGCCAAGGTCTTTCTCCTGAGTGGCTGTTTAGAGGAGAGGCGCAGGGTCGACTCCCTCGGGCTTGCACTGATCAGAGGAGGGATGTAGGGCACACTGCTCTCGTGATAAGTTTCAGAATTGGGTCAAGTTTAAAATTAACAAGACAGTAGAACACAAGCAATATAATTTTTTTGCAGTTTTTTGGTCTTTTTGAGACAGGGTTTTGCTATACAGTTCAGGCTGGCCTCAAACTCACTTTGTAGCCCAGGCTGACCTCGAAATCACAGCAATCCTCCTGCCTCAGCCTTCCCAGTGCTGGGGATTACAGACATGTGCTACCATGCCCAGCCAAGATAATGTAGTTTTTGTTTTGTTTTTTGTCTTTTTAAGACAGGGTCTCGCTCTGCAGTGCAGGCTGGCCTTGAGCTTACTTTGTAGCCCAGGCTGGCTTCACACTCACAATGATCCTCCTGCCTCAGCCTCCCGAGTGCTGGGATTACAGGCGTGTGCCACACCGAGCACCATATTCACAATTCTTTAGGGAGACAGAATCTAAGGTATAGGTGGAGGGAAACATTTCTGCAGCAAGAGCCTCTTTTGCTGGCACGCTGGGCTTTGGAGGTGTCCTTGTCTCCCCAGACCGGTGTGGGTCACGTCTGTTTGATATTCCTAGGAGGAACTTGCCATTTACCAGGATGAACTGGAGACAACCCTGAAGGAACTTCAGTCTCTCAGGAACAAGCAGAAGGATGCTATTGCTTCTTGCAAGGTGAGGAGCAGCATAGGTGGGTTATGAGATAGAAATGAATTACAGCTGCCTTATAATTTCAAGAGAGAGGCACCGGGTGTGGTGGTGCACGACTATAATCCCAGCACTCAGGAGGCTGAGGCAGGAGGATTGTCGTGAGTTTGAGATCAGCCTGGGCTACAAAGTGTGCTCAAGGCCAGCCTGAACTGCATAGTGAGACCCTGTCTCAAAAAGACAAAAAACAAAACAAAACAATAACTTTAAGAGAACAACAACAACAAAAAAGACGGCAAAGGTGCCTGTGCATACATTATCAATATGCCAAATGGCACCCGGGCTGGCCTCAAACTCACAGAGATCCTCCTGCTTCAGCCTTCCAAGTGCTTCTGGGATCTAGTAATTTCTTACAAAATTGACAAATTTGTCAGTTACAAAATTACAAATTTGTCAGTTACAAAACTGACAAAGTAGACCAGAAAGGAGTATGTTTGTGGAATAGGTTCTGTGTTAGTTAGCTTTTCACTGCTATGGCAAATTACCTGAGACAAACAATTTAAAGGGTGAAAGGATTATTTTGAGTCACTGCTTCAGAAGTGGTGGTCCACGGCTGGCCAGCCACGTTTCGGCTGAGGACAAGAGAGAAACATGATGGAAGGGTGTGGCAGAGGAGAGCCGCTCAGCCCGTGGCAGCCAGAAGGTGGAGCTGGAAAAGGGAAAGAGGCAGCTGGGAAGGGGCTGGGGAAACGCACAGCCCCCAGGGTCATTCCCCACAATCCGTTTCCTTCCACTCGGCCCACTCTTAGCGGCCCATTCACCTATGAACTTGTCAATGAGTTCATCCACTGAAGGGGTTTTTTGTTTTGTTTTTCTTCCAGTACCAGGAATCGAACTCATGACCTTGTGCTTGCCAGGAAGGCACTTTGCTGCTGAGCTAAATCCGCAGCCCTCATTGAAGAGGTTAATGTCCACATGATCCATCACTTCGTAAAGCCATCAGCTGGCCTTCGGGGGACTTTCTAGATCCAACCCATAATACTCTTATCACTGGCCTCAAAGGCTCATAGCCCTCTCTCTGCAAAATGCATGTAGTCCATCTCTAAGATTTGCCAAAGTCTGAAAAGTTCTAGAATTACCCAGAATCTAGGTCTAAAGTCTCCTATGACACTCAAGGCAACTCTGAACAGTCAGCCCTATAAAAATTTTAAAAGTGGGCTGGAGATATAGCTCAGCAGCATAAGCACATGCCCGGCAAGCACAAGGTGATTCCCGGTACCTCCCCCGCAAAAATAAAAAAAATTAAAAAGCAAGTTATATACTCCCAAGATAACATGCCATAGAGTTAACAACGTTACCTTTCCAAATGAGAGGAACAGGATAACAGAAGTAAATTGGACTGAAGCAAGACTGACACCCAGCAAGCCAGACGTTCAATTCCGTAGCTTCACGTTTAGCGTCCAAGACATGTGCTGGCACAGTGTGAACTCTGCAGGCCTTGCCGGTTGTGGTCCCACGGCCACTCTCTTAGGCTGGCTCTACTCAGGGCCTATGCTTTGCTTGGCAGATGTTCTATGTTCCTGGCAGCTCTGATTTCCTAGGGTCTGTACTGCATCTTCAATTTCTCCCTCAATGCTTCATAATCACCTTCTCACGAGCTGACGGCAGAAATTCTCACACTGCGCAGATGGCCTGCTCCACCCGCCTGGTTTTTCTTTAAAAATCTGGGTGGAAGCCATCATGACCCCTTAACTCTTGCATTGCTGCCAGGATCATGTGGATGACACAAAGGTATTAGCCAGCTTGAGCAGTAGCCAGGACCATGCTGTCGTTGCTTTTGAGCGCCTGGACAGGTGAGCGTGGTGAGATGGATCCCAGGGAACAAATTCTCTAGGTGATCCTGCTTAAGTAGGGAGCGTAGCAGCTCTCTCATTTACACATTTACATCCTTGAGTCTGCGGGGGGGGTGAGGGCTTGCTGGTTCCTGAGATGCCCCCAAGACATCTTGTTGTCCCAGTGCAAAGCACTTGGCATTTTTTTTTGGTATTGTTTTTTGTTTTTTTGAGACAGGGTCTTGCTGGGTAGCCCAGGCTGGCCTTGAACTCACTGTGTAACCCAGGCTGGTCTTGAACTTGGGGTAATCCTCCTGCCTCAGCCTCCCAGGTGCGGGGATTACAGGCGTGCGCCACCATGCCCTGCTACTTGGGTTCTTTTTAATGGCGCTGATTTCTTCTTCAGTGATATCTCCTTGTCCCCAGTTTTACACGTGCTTCTTTTCTGGCTGAACTGCAAATTTTTTAAATCTTTCTGTTCTGCTGTTTGCTCCTGAATCCCCTTGTAACTCTGACTGAAAGCTGCCAGCATTACCCACAGCACAACCTAAAAATTTTTTTTTTTTTCAGTACTGGGAATTGAACTCAGGACCTTGTGCTTGCCAGGCAGGTGCTATGCTGCTGAGCTAAATCCTCAGCCCCTCCTAAAATTTTTTTGTTGTTATTTTTGTTTCTGTTTTTTTGATACAAGGTCTCGCTACACAGTTCAGGTTGGCCTTGAGCTCACTTTGTAGCGCAGGCTGGTCTCGAACTTGCAACAATCCTCCTGCCTCAGCCTCCAGACTGCTGGGATTACAGGCATGTGCCACCACGCCTGGCACTAACCTAAATGTTATACTGCCTTAAAATTTCCTTCTCCAAATAAACTATCCCATTACCTCAAACTGAGCCTCATACAAACTTTTAGGGCATGGACCAGATGTGAGCAAGCTCTCTGACAGAGTGTAACACGAAGGGTGCAGGTCGCAGTAGAGTCCAGTTCCCATCTGAAGTCTCCTGGGCACATCCTCTACCTCCCATCAGCGTTCTGGACTGCTGAGCCCACACCAGAATTCTCATCAAGTTTTGTTTACAGCATTCTAGGGCTTCTCTGTCTTCTCTAAAATTTTTCAAAGTCCTCCTGTGCACCAAAACTATGCACAGCCAGGCATGGTGGCACACACTTGTAATCCCAGCACTCGGGAGGCTGAGGCAGGATCATCATCGGGAATTCATGACCAGCCTGGGCTACAAAGTGAGGTCAAGACCGGCCTGAACTGTATAGCAAGACCCTGTCTCAAAAAAAACACAAAACAACAACAAAAAAAACCCCAAACCCCTAAACCAACAAAAACTACATGGATAGATACAGACACCACTTATCAGTAGCAATTTCCGGGTGCTGGGGATTTAACTCAGTGGCACAGCGCCTGCTGGGCAAGTGTGAGGTCGTGAGTTTGATTCCCGGTACAGGAAAGAAAACCAAAAAAAAAAAAATCAGTAGCAATTTCCTGTGTAGGTGAGCTTTCTTTTTTTTTCCTCTCAGAATGCCTGAGATACACAAAGGAGGAAAGGTTTGTTTTAGCTCCTGGTTTCAGCTCCTGGTTGTCTGGCTCCACGGCCTCCGGTGTGTGGTGAGACAAAAAGGTCATGGCGGAGGGCCTGGCCTAGAAAAGCTGCTTGCCTCATGGCAGCAAGAGAGAGAGAAAGAGGGTGAGAGTGAAAGAGCCAGAGAAGGAAGGGCCAGGGACAGATACGCTCCCCAAGGTCACGCCCCGTCACCGCGGCCCCCTTCACCCTTCGGGCACATTTTAGGGTAACCTGTACTTAACAACAAGGCAGAGGAAGGGCTGGGGATGTAGCTCAGTGGCGTAAGTTCCTGCCTGGCGAGCGCGAGTTTGTGAGTTCGAGTCCTGGAACCAAAACGATAAATAAATAAGTAAACTGCAAAAAATAAATTAATAAATTTTTTTTAAAAACTGCATAGCGAGACCCTGTCTCAAAAAGACAACAACAACAACAAAAAAAAAACCCCCCAAAACCCAAGAATGATGATTAGTACTATATGTGGAACAGGGCATGTTAAGAACATATAAATGGAGGACCTAGACTATGTGCTCTGAAGAAGTCGCTTATTAAACATTGAGAATCGGAGGATAAGTAACAACCAAGTGAGCTAGGTGAGGGGGATATGAAAGGAAGAGGAAAGTGCATGCAGAAAAACTTGAGACAGGAAGTTGGCTGCTTGCTAAATCAGAAACAAGACAATAAAGCTGGTCTCCGCTAAGCTAGATAATATTGAAGAAGCAGATATGGGCTCAATTATGTAGGCCCTTGTGTAGAAATGTTAAGCATTTAAAACTTAATTCCCTGAATAAAGAGAAATCATAAAGGGCGTTAAACAGGGCATCGTTTCATTTCCTTTTGCAAATATCTCTGGTGGCTGCGTGGAGAGGGGCCTGCAGAGGCAGTGACAAAGACCACAGCTTCCTGAGTGTGGTGCCACACGCCTGTAATCCCAGCACTCAGGAA